TAACCCCCAAAACAAGAAAAATCCCAAATAACCAATCTAAGCTAAGGGAACTAGAAAAAGAACAAGCAAAGCCTAAAGTGAGTAGAAGGAAGAAAATAATAAAGATCAGAGTGGAAGTAAACGAAATAGACTTAAAAAAAAAAAGATTAACGAAACTAAGAGCTGTTTTTTTGAAAAGATAAACAAAATTGATAAATCTTTAGCCAGGCTTATCAAGAAAAAACAGAGAGGGCCCAACCAAATAAAATCAGAAATGAAAGAGAAGTTCAACTGACTCCACAGAAATACAAAGGATCATAAAACAATACCAGGAACAATTATATGCCAACAAATTGCACAGCCTAGAAGAAATGAATAGATTCCTAGAAAAATACAACCTTCCGAGAATAAACAAGGAAGAAACAGAAAATCTGAGCAGAGTGAGTATTAGGAACAAAATTGAATCAGTAACAACAAATAAGAGTCCAGTACCAGGTGGCTTCACAGGTAAATTCTACCAAACATTTAAAGAAGAAAAGCTATCCTTTTTGACTAGTCCAAAAAATTCAGGAGGAAGGAACACTTCCACTCTTTCTACAAAGCCAACATTACCCTGATACCAAAATCAGACAAAGATACTACAAAGAAGGAAAAATTACATGCCAGTATCCCTAATGGACATACAAGCAAAAATGCTGAAAAAAATATTAAGCTGAATTCAACAATACATTAAAAGGATCATACACTATGATCAAGTGGGATTTATTCCAGGGATGCAAGGACGGTTCCATATTCACAATTCAATCAGCGTGATACACAACATTAACAAAACCAAGAATGAAAATCACACGATCATCTCAATAGATAAATAAAAAGCATTTGATAACAGTCAGCATCCACTTACGATAAAAATTCTCAACCAAGTGGGCATAGAGGGAACATACTTCCACATAATAAAGGCCATATAGGACAAGCCCACAGCTAGCATCATACTCATTGGTGACAAGATGAAAGCTTCCCTTCTAAGATCAGGAACAAGGTAAGGATGCACACTCACAACACTTTTATTCAACATAGTATTGGAAGTCCTAGCCACACCAATTAGACAAGAAAGAAATAAAAGGCATTCAAATTGAAAAGGAAGAAGTAAAACTGTTATTATTTGCAGATGGCATGCTACTGTATATAGAAAACCCTAAAGGCTCCACCAAAAAGTTATTAGAACAAATGAATTCAGTAAAGTTGCAGGATACAAAATTAATATTCAGAAATCTGTAGTAGTTCTATACATTAGTAACAAGGTATCAGAAAGCAATTAAGAAAAACAATCCTATTTACAATTGCATCAAAAAGAATAAAATGCCTAGGAATAAATTTAACCAAGGAAGTAAAAGACCTGTACTCTGAAAACTAAGACATTGATAAAAGAAATTGAAGACAATGCAAATAAATTGAAGGATATACCATGCTCATGGATTGGAAGGATTAATATTGTAAAAATGCCCATACTACCCCAAACAATCTACAGATTCAATGCAATCCCTATCAAAATACCAAGGACATTTTTCACAGAACTAGCACTAATAATTCTAAAATTTAAATGAAACCACAAAAGACCCTGAATTGCCAAAGCAATCTTGAGAAAGAAGAACAATGTTGGCGATATTATGCCCCCTGATTTCAAACTTTACTTCAAGCTATAGTAATGAAAATAGCATGGTACTGACACAAAAACAGACACATAGATCAAAGAACACAATGAAAAGATACTCAACGTCACTAATCAGGGAAATGTAAATGAAAACCACAATGAGGTATCAGAATGGCTACTATCAAAAAGTCAACAAATAACAAGTGTTGACAAGGATATGTAGAATTGGGAACCCTCTTGCACTCTTGGTGGGAATGTAAATTGGTGCAGCCACTATGTTAAACAGTATGCAGGTTCCTCAAAAAATTAAAAGTAGAACTACCACACAACCCGGCAATTCCACTTCTGGGCATTACCCAAAGAAAACAAAAACACTAATTCAAAAAGAGATATGCACCCCTATGTTCACTGCAGCATTATTTACAAGGCCAAGATATAGAAGAAACCTAGCTGTCCACTGATAGATGAATGGATAATGTTGTGTTATATGTAGCCACAATGGAATATTACTCAGCAATAAAAAAGAATGGAATCTTGCCGTTTGTGACAACATGCTAGTGAAATAAGTCAGAGAAAAGACAGATACCATATGATTTCACTTATATGTGGAATCTAAAAAATATATAAATCAACAAACAAAACAGAAACAGACTCAGATACAGAGAATAAACTGATGGTTGCCAGAGGGAAGGGTATAAAGGAATGGGAGAAAAAGGTGAAGGGGAATAAGAGGTACAAACTTCCAGTTACAAAATAAATAAGCCCCCGGAATGTAATATATAGCACCAGGAATATACTCAGTAATATTGTAATATCTTTGTACTGTGACAGATCAGACATATCATGGTGATCACACTGTAAGGTATATAAATGTAGAATCATTATGTTGTACACCTGAAACATACTGTATGTCAACTGCCCTTTAATAAAAGATAGATCAGGAGCGATGGACTCTTGACTAGATATTTAGATAACTTAGTGAATCAGAATTTGCAGATTTGATTTGGCAGTGTTGTGTTGCATTGCCTTTGTTTCCCTTAAAGTCTGCTAAGGCCATTTTTGCAGTTTCTAGCTACTAAGTTTTTTTGAGACATAAACTGTCATGCTGAGAATGGGTTTCAAGCCCGGAGCCATTGGATAAGCCAGGACTGAGAAACGTGACAAGTGCTGGCGAAAAACATGGAGTGTGCTGATGGAGATAGAATCCTTTCCGCATCTTCTAACCATCCATTCTTCTTCCCCTTAAACAATCCACCCCCCCTTTTTAAAAGAGGTCATTTGGTTGTTGCTAATTATTTCAATTTGATGCTATGTTGAGTTGCATCCTTGACTTCTACATTTTTTAAAACACGTTTGATTCATAGCTCAGTGCAGAGTTAATAGGAGGCATGTTCTTTATAGTTAACTTAAATTTTAAACCACGAAGCATCACTGTTGATTCTTGGTTTAAGTAGGGTCTTATTTAATTTACACTTAGTCTTTTGCTGCTTTCCCCTTTTAGGAGAAAGAGATAAACCATGGAAAATGCTAATATTATGGATTTATTTTTAAAAGGAACTTCACCAATATTTGCAGTATGTTTCCAGCCCTTCACTTATTAATGATTAAAAAGATGACCCAAAATTCTAAAATAATCTCAATCACCAAGGGAATATTTGTTTATTGTACTTTACTAATTGATGTAGAAAAAATAAAAGTATCTCCAGCAATAAACAGAAGCAAGGAATTTTTGCTTAATCTGAGTTAACCAGAAAAAAATCTTTTATTAAAATACCTCTTAAATATTGCTCATCAGTTTCCTGTCCTTGAAACATAATTTTTTCCTGAACCTCCAAGCACCACTTAGAATATGAAGAAACTTGATGTGCTTTATTCTTCTCTATTACCTGAGTATGAATATGACATTTTAACTCCTTGCCCCCTTGAAGACATTGGGAGCCATCTGTCTGGAATCGCCTGAGTAAGGACAGCAGAAGTGGTTTAAAAACACACTGCAGATAGCCCTTCTTTTCCAGTTTTTATGAAGAGAGGTATAGAAAAGAAAATCAGACCTTACATACTGGTCATAGGTGTCAGTAACCATCTGCCCCACATCTAAGCAGGGCCTCTCGCCCTTCACCAAAGAGAGTCATATTCTGCCAGCAGAACCATTACTACCGGTAGTGGAGCCGCTCTTACAATTTGAGGTAAGGTCCAAACAATGTGTCTAAATTCAATAATGCTACTTGGGTGTTTAGTTGTTGAAAATAAGCAGTCCCTTATAACTAAGATTAAGAATCAGTTATATGATCTGAATGGGGGTGAGGAGAGAGTGAGCCATCAGAGAAGGCTAATAGAGGCGAGGCACTTGGAAGACCTCTCCTGCTTTACCTTACTCTGCTCTCTTAGCACCTCTGCAAACTCTATGTATTTGGAGATTAAAAGCTTTCTTACCTTTTCCAAACTCAGTCTCTTTTCAGAGCCCTGCTCACCCTGCTCAGTGACTGAACAGCTACCTGATGGGTAAAAGTAACTCAGAGCTTCACCCATGATAAGCGGTGTCTTTAATCTCCTTGTCTAAAGAATATATGGGTTATTAATAATCATAAATGATAATAATGGGAAAGAAAGAATAAAAGTCCATAAACATCGCCAGGGAGGAGGCTCTATATATTTATGATTTGGGGGAATTAATGAGTTTCTCAGGGAGTTAGGGAGGATTTGGAGCTGGGGGAAATTACTCTGTGCTTCTCACCTGTCCAAGCAAACAACTGCAGAAGGTGGGAGGAAACCTAGCACAAGCCCATCGGAGGACCAGCGAGTCCATACAGACTGTGGTGTGTTTAAATGGACTCGTCATGGGAGGCCCAAATTTCAAAATTATGACATCCCAACTGTATCAATTTCTCAGATAAATGTTGGGGTCTCCCAAAACCACCTTTGGTTAAACAGATGAGCGTTAAACAGTACTCAATTGAGAAAGACAGCTTAGTTTGCAGAAAATAGAATGAACAGAGACCCATAATCAAACGAGTTAGCATTGACCCATGTACACACATGTATACACTATATAAAATTTACCTTCAAATTATATCTCCATTAGACTTTTCAAAACATTTCTTCATTCTTCCATCTTTTAATGATAACAGTTCTTGAACATATCAGTCTTAACATGCCAGAATTATCAGGAGTGGTCAAATAAGTGGACAAGATATATCTTAATACCAGTGAGTGCAAAGGGTCAAGTTGTCTCCTAATCTACAACCTTTGGTTTGCCCAGCCCTCCAGAGTGGAACTCCAGATACAGGCAGATATCCAAATAAAAGTTGCCTTCAGTCTTGGCAGTGAATTTAGTTATTCAAGTCCAGAGTCTTAACCATGCTTCTTAAGGCTAAATTCTCCGAGCACTTTCTTTATCGTGTCATTTGGGAACAGTTTTTATCACCTTTTTCCCATTTTTAAAGGTATGGGATGTGTATCTAGTAAAATTTCGAACAGTATTATCTCTGCTGCCTCTTGCTACTCTTGAAACATATTTTTTATCTTGAAAGAATTTTGCCCTCTGTAATGCACCTTTGAGGACAGCTGTACGTGGTCCAGGAACAAAGCTGTACAACAAAAGAAGAGAAACATAAAAGATAAATGTCATTTCAACTTCAGTAGACTCTATATTGGTCTGTTTTTCTAATTTAATTGTTGCCCCCCACTGTTGCATCCTTCCTTAAGGATAATTGTATAAATATTATTAAAACTGGGTATTTACACTGGGCAGATATATCAGAAGCTGGTGAATAGGACATCTTGTCAAAGTATGTAAAAGTATAATTTCAACAGCACAGTTTCTTCATGGAATATGTTCCTCACAAAACTTCACATGGTCGGCTCCTTCTTATTCAGATTTGGGTTCAAATGGTACCTCATTAGAGACTACCATATCTAGTTTTCCTAGTCCCACCCCCACTTCCAGGCACTCAGCACAACATGCTTATTTTTCTCATGACCCTACTGTATGAATTTTTGTTTACTTGTACACTTCTTTGTGATCTGTTCTCAACTCTTCCACCCTCCCAGACAGAAAGTCAATTTCGCAAGACCATGTCTGGTCACCACAGTAATCCCAGGAACTATGTAGCACTTAATAGACACTCAGTAAGTATTTGTCTAATGAAAGCATAGATGAATGCCACTCCCTTCTTTCCTCCCTCCCTCCCTTCTGTCCGTCCATCCATCCATCCATCCATCCATCCATCCATCCATCCATCCATCCATCCATATGTTTACTATCTGCTCTATGGAAGGTGCAGTGAGGGACACAAACAGTGCCCTGTCCAGCCGGTGCATAAGGGTTTGACTGGGAGTCATGAGCAACCCAACAGTAAAGGAGAGCTGGAGTCCAGCTCTGGGAGGCTTTGGATGCCAGACAAATAAGGAATCATAGAAGATAAGTGCTGATGAGAAGCTCTAGCCTGTCCAATAAAACTCTGTGCTGATGGGAACGTCCTAGAGTCTTCACTGGCCAGTGTGAGAGCCACTAGCCACATGTGGCTATCGAGCACTTGAAATGGGGCTAGTGTGACTAAGAAACGGAATTTTTAATTTCATTTCATCGAAGGCTAGTGGCTACTGTATCGGACAGCACAAGAACAGAGCCATTTCAGAGGACATTATTTTACAGGGAGGTGGTGGAAAGACTTTGATCCCAAAAACATTCTTATATTCCAGCTTCTCATTAGCTGAGCAGCTCTGAGCCAATCACGTAACTAGAGTGATCCTTGCTTCTCCAGGTGTAAAATGGGGATAAAAACAACCTACGTTGCTGTGAGCAACAGTTGAAATCCCCTAGGTTCGTGACCGTGGTGCCCTGTTGGTTACAGATGAGGAAGCTGAGGCGCATAGAGGGGTGAAGGTCAGTGACAGCTGAGACGATAACCCAACTCGACTGATACTGACAGTCCAGTGTTAACTTCCATTGAACGAGGTTTTTATTCAGGACACTAAGAAGAACTATCAAAATCCTTGGAATAAAAGTGAAATGAGCCATGTCATGCTTTCAGAAGCACCTGGATATGGGTGCAGAACCACAGCAAGGCAGATGGCCTGGGGCCAGCTGCACAGTTCAGAAAGTCCGAGGAGCCTGGCATATACGCTCTTCATAGACATCTTTAGAATGAGCACGTGACAGCCTGATGGCACGAGAAGAGAAGGTTTATCCATCCCGATAAACCTGAGAAATTAGCTGAATTGGGCTAATGGGAAGAGTCAGGAGAACTCCAGATGTGGAGACCAAGAAAACTGGCAGCATTCACTATGATCTGTTTCTTCACATTTGCGTTTTTCTCCTTTCACGAGCTGTCAATCTGATCTCTCTCACAGACACATCAATATTTAGAAAAGGAGTAAGTGAAAGATATAGAAAGAATTCAAAATTAAATTACTTCGCTTCTTTCTCACATACACCACATACTCTTTCATAGTTGGGGGTGCAGAAGACATCAAACCAATAAAACCATGCCATTCATGTCACACAGACCCGGAAGCGTCCATGCATTCTATACTATATGTCTGGGCTTCTGAACTCAAATCCCAAAGTGTATCTCGTTTCCCTTTGTCAGTGCTCTCAGGAACGTACTCAAGTTGGTCAACAAACTTCTCCCAGTTGCGAAGAGCAGCAGTCATGGCTAAATTTCAGTGCAAATACAATTTCCTCACACCTTGCCCCATTTTTGCTCTTCTCTGTTTTCTGTATTAATTTCCAGGCTAAACATGAACTCAAATTACCCAAAGTCCTAATTGTCCATATGCACAGAACATGGCTCCACTGACCACGGAGATTGCATTCTTCCGTATCTGGAACACACTGTTTTCATGGCCTGAGTTTATCTTATCCATACTGGTCTGTTCTCCCCAACCCATCTCTTTCCATTGGGTCCTTTCTATGGTAAGTTTAGTTACCTTTGTTAAGAAAAAAATTGGTAACTGCTTCTATAGCAATGGCATTGATATCTTCTTTTTTTTTT